TTCACTCGATATCCGTGTCTCGTGTCATCTGTGACAACTCCCTGTCAAGCAAAATTGCGGCTCAACTACAACTTCCAATTCCGCTGATACCTGCTCGGGCAATATGTATACCTATAAAACGTCAAAAAAACCTATAAGGTGTCATCTTGCAGACTCGATAGTTTTTAGGGTGCAAACAGTCATTCCACATTTGCTCACTAGGATCGTTGTGATCGTCCATCTATGGAGAAATGGCTCAACTACACGTATACACGCATTGTTGGTTGCATATGTTTTGTGATCCCGAGTGGTCTATAGTTTTCATCTCCGAGTCTCTGAGAAGAAAGTTGTTTTTTGGTTAAATAGCAAGATCGCATCTGGATGATTGTGTGTATTGGTCTGCATGTGTATAAAATCAGTGATTTTTCTGTATGAGAAAAGAAAAGCCTTACTGAATATGCTGCCAAAGAAGTGTGTCTATTAGCTGAGCCCGACAAGTTATTACATGTTATCCTATCGGGTTATGTTCAAAGTTATAAATTACGGATTTTTACGTTTTTTTGTGTCTTCAAAAACTTTGAGGAGAAATTTGCACATGTACTCGTAATTTCCAGAATGGATAAAAAAAGTGGATGCAAACTAATTTCTAGCTTTGAATACAATGGAATTATCATCAACACGTATTATTAGCACATAAATCCTTACTATGCACCTATGCATTGCCGTTACCTTCAGTAACGCCATCTCTGAAGCAGATTTTACACTACTCTCTCATGGAAACATTGATAAGTGAAGCTTCATGATGTTTAGGCAACATGTTCACCAAAAAACGAGTGCACCACGTGTCCATCAGCTAGTGTTAACACCTTGTAGAAAAACTTACATAATGTCAAAAAAAAAACTATATAATGTCAAAAAAACGGGATAATGTCACTTTTCAAGTTACGGATTACCCATGATGGTCCTTCAGTTAAAGTTAACTTCTGTTTAGGTAAACCGGACATTGAAAATCTCTTTTTGAAGTTTAACTTCCGGTTAGCACTGAATCTGCAGTTAACCTGTGATTGAAAAATTGGTCCTAGACAGCAAACTTAGAAAAAAGGTAGGACTAAGTAGTGGGAAACAGTTAAACCCAGAGAACGGTAAGCAGATCTTGGCATTTTAAAACAGCGGGGACACTTGGAAAATATTGAAAATATATACTGGTTGGATTTTGACTGGACACTAAATATTGAGTGCACATCTACAGAACATCGGGTTGAGTGTATCAAGCACTTCGCGGTGTCCAATTTTGCTGAAATTTGTCACGCACGTGTGGTTTGCTTCATAATGGTAACTAAACACCTCCACAGTAACCACAATAGTATGAGTATCAAGCGAAACATAATGAACATTGCAACTCCAAGATGGCGACACATTTCTACATTAACTCCCTCCATATTGGTATGAAATGCAAACACTTGATGAGCGAATCACAATCAGTGAAGCGACCTACTGATCACATTACCCACTTTTTCCTCTTAAAAATAAACTCGCTTATATTTGACAACATGATTTTCACAAAGGCTCCTTCGTTTATTATCACTTAAAGATTAGTAGATATGAAATTACTTATTTCAAATTAAAATAATATTGTTTTCTTTCTCTGGTAGTGTCATAAAGTCATAAATTCGCCCTTAACATGTAATACATTTACTAAAATTATACTAGATGGCTTGGGTACACACGCGTTTTCAAATCCTCGGCGGCCTTTATGTGTATAACAGTTGAAATCCGCGTAACCTCATCCGCAGTCACGTTTCGCTTAAAAGGCGCTCTATATCTGTCTCTGTTTTGCATACAAAGGGAAATTGGAGTTGCCATCATTGAGTTTTAATTTGGTAGATTAAAGCGGCTAACCACAATCGTGCTTAGATGGGGAGGAATAAGAAATACAGCCATAGCGGTAATAGCAGAGTGGATGTCACTGAAACGTATTGACTGCCGTTTTAGAAAGGAACAAAGCCAATTAATAAAGGAGATTTTATGGGCTGGGATCGCATATAAGTTATTCTCACAAATTGAATTGCATGGCAAGACCATTAAGAAATATTTGTTTTTGACTTTTTTTTACGATACAACTTTGTGATCGTTCCCATAAGGATTAGAATTATATCGAGGCACAGGCAGATTTTGTTAGATACTTGTAACAGTTACTCCTCGCTCCTGCAATAGAGTCTTTTATTTTGACCGTACGACGTGTGCATTCTTGATTTTATATCACGGTTTGTCCGTCAAGCGTATCAATTCTGCAGGCTATATAGACAACATTAGACATGCAACAATTCAATTGATTTGTTATAGACACTCCAAGGGTGACAAACAAATAGATGTTGATGGCAACGTCTGTCTAGTGTCTAGTCAATGCCACCTGTTTTATTCATACTGTAACGTATTTTTCCCAAAGGGCGATATTTGTCAATAGGCGAACAACAGCTTTACGTCGTAGAGGTACGTGGACTCTTTCTCTTACGATATACTATGATAAAAAGCAAAACCAATATTGGTTATATGAAAACTTGGACGCTATATACGAGTAATGAGAACAGTAACGTGTATATTTCAAAACACAATTATAAATATCTAAAAATGCAGTTATCCAAGACGTATAAAAATGGCATAGAAAAAGTTACATAGATAAAAAAGTGGGAGAAGATGAACTGTTGAATGTGTATGAAGCGTTGGCAAATTTTAATGCAATTAGATAGACTCATGGATGACGGATGATTATAAAAGATTTTAACCCTTAAGTATCATGGCGGGGTCAAATTTGACCCTCCACGTCTTGTATGCCAAGTTTCACTGAGAAAATATTTATGGCTCGCTGGGCGCGTTCTGCTAATCGTCGACCGATAGGTGATTTATCGATCCACAAAAATTCCATTAATTTATTTGTTACCACTGCAGAGTTAGGCACATGTAGCGAGTAATTTGAAATGGCGAGGTGTAGTGGCAATACACGCGCTCTGACACAAAAAGAACTTGAAGCGGAGGCGCAAAAAATTATTTCTGACCACTTTAGGTCAAGAACTTATTAAGGCCCATTTGACTCGTAGAGCTCAGCATGTTTACCGAGAGAACTTCGTAGTGTCATTTTTAAAGTTTTTGAACTTCAGAAACCAGTGGAGAGGAAGGTGTAAAATATGGCCATATTCTAAAAATCAAAAGCTGATCGTGCGATAAATGTCGATAAACTATACTAAGTGACACATAAATCCGAACACCCAATTCCAAAATGATTGCACTGCTTTAAAGCCCTTTGACCTTTATAATGTGTGGACGCACCCTGATGTGCTACGCATTCTCCAACGCGTCTAGGCATGCTTCTGATCAGGTGGTCAATGTCCTCCTGTGGTATCTCATTCCAGGCAACCACCAACTCCTCTCGAAGTGCTTCTAGAGTCTGAGGAGGACGTTGCAAATTGAGCAATCTCCTGCCCATCATACCCCACACGTGCTCAATTGGGGATAAGTCGGGAGATCTTGGTGGCCATGGTGACAATGTGACATCATTATGTTGAAAGAAGTCTATTGTGACTCTTGCAACATGTAGTCGGGCATTATCTTGTTGGAAAGTTGGATCTGCCAGGGTGTCAAGATAGGGTAAAAGATGGGGTTCTAGAACTTCGTGGATATAACGCTGCGCGTTCATGTTACCTCTGATGAAGATTAAAGGTGACCTGGAACCATAAGCTATAGCACCCCAAACCATAACTCCAACAGTGTGATGAACATGTCTTTCAACAAAAAACTGGGGATTCCTCCTTTCACCACGTCGCCTTCTAACCCTGGCACGACCATCGTGCATGCCTAAACAAAATCGAGACTCGTCACTAAAGACTGTTCCATTCCTGATCCCAGAGTGACCGTTGTCTGCACCACTCAAGGCGATTACGACGGTGTTCTCGAGTTAAAGGAGGGACCCAGTGTGGCCGGTATGAAAACAAGCCAAGACTTCTCATTCGTCGGTAAACACTTCGCATGCCAATAGGTCTTCTGTGTTCTGCAAACCATTCATTTGCAATGGACCTGGTAGTGGAGAAACGGTCCCTTAAGGCCAATAATCTTAGGCGGCGATCTTCACGGTCTGTTGTTCTACGGCGGCGTCCAGTGCCCCTTGCTCTTTGCGTACGGCCTTCTCGAAGCCATGCCTGACAACACCTAACCACAGTGTCTACACTAATTTGCACTCTAACTGCAATTGCCCGAAAATAAAGTCCAGCTTCCCACTATACGGCCCCTATCAAACTCCCTAAGTTGACGAAATCGTACAGGTCTCCGTACTCTAGACATCGCAACCGATCGTAAGGGATGTCAAGAACCAAAATCCGCCAACGTTGATTCTTTACTGCGGCTGAAATATTCATTTTTAGAGCGTTAGTGAATTAAAAAAAAAGCAGTATAAAAACCGGAATGTCCAACTGATAAGGATGAACATTTTTTCACTTGTTATTTACAGTAAGATAAATACATTCACCAACTTTTATTAAAATAAAACCATTTAAACTGAGTGTTCGGATTTATATGTCACTTAGTATATTTGCAAAAATCATGCCCGCACGAAGACGTTAAGCATAAGTTGTGTTGAAAAGTCAAAAACATGCTTGTCATTTTCTAGATACGAAATCTAAATCAATTTTTTTTATTCAAGGTAGCAGGTATAATACCTAAAATTCACCACTGAAGACATACACAAGAAGACTGAAAATTTTTATAATTTTCCTTATAATTTTAGAAAGTGGATATCTTTGTTAATTTCACTGGATACCAAGGTTTTTTTTTAATAAAGTTATAACCATATTCGTTTTATTTTATAAAATTGTAAAACTAGTTGAAAACAAAATTACTTAACATAAAAACAAGGTACAAAATTAGATTTTTTATGTGAAAAAAACAATGGGGTCAAATTTGACCCGGCCATGGTATAAACGTTACTATTTGCCATGGTTGTTAAGCGTTAACACTTGGGAATCTGTTCATACCTCCGAAAGCAGAGTTCAAAATTATGAACCTTAGATGAATCCGTGGTTCAATTACCACTACGTTGATACTAGAATAATAGTACAAGAAATTTAAATATAACCAGAGAAAAAACCGTAAGCCACCTGATATCAGTCCCATAGAATGTACAAAACTTATGATAAACAAATATAAAATGCTGGCAGTTACAAAATGTATGTTGCTTAGCAAAGAACCATATATACCAGGATTCAGAAAAGGGGAATCTGCCATATCTTTAAACCAATTAAAATATAACAACTGTTATTCAGGCATCACTAAAAGAAAAAGTAAAATTTTCCAACATATTCAAAGATCAAAAATTAGTGTGCCCGAATATAAATCCGTAAATTTAGTAGCACGAGAGAAAAAAGAAAAATATTAAATGTTTATTTCAAATGAAATATGCTGAGATGTCGTGTACTTGGGTGATCCTTGGGAAACAGCTGGAAACAGCACGGGTATTACGTATCTTGAAAAGAGACATTTTGCCGATTTTTTTTACATTTCGTAGGTTTTTTGTGACATAACGTAGATTTTTCTACAACATGTTAACATAGCACAAGCTGTTGTACACTTGTTGTGAGCTTGTTTTGTAGCTTTTCGTGTTGCTTGAACGTCAGCGAATAGCGATCATAGCGAGCAAACGTGGAATGAACTGTTTGCGCACTACAAGCTACCTAGTCTGAAAGATTATGTTTCATCGTTTTGAGGTTTTTTCAGGTTTGTCACATACCTAATACCCCTGCGGCAGGGGCTAGCTACTCTAGAAGGCGTACAATCGACGCCCCAAGTGTGAATGTGTAGCAGAATTGCATCAATTTTGCTAGAACTGGCATCCTGATGACACGAACACGTACAAAAATCGAAGCATGCTTCGTGTACCCTACCCGGCTACATGTCTGTTAACTGTCAATTAACCTCAGTCGATGTCCAAAACAAAACCCTCTAAAACTACAAATGATTATTATTAGAGATACGATACCAACGACGTTTTATTCCGTGAAATAACAAAGCAATGGCAAAAAGAAATAAATAAAGTAATCACTGTTCGTTAGCAGGAAATTTCCAAGTACGACTCTGTCACTTATAAGAACTGTTCCCAGTTGTCGTCGTAGGTAAAACGTTTCATAGGAAGTCTAGGTGTTGTAAATCGTCCAACCGATTTGGAAAAATAAAAATAATTTGAGCATATATATACCAGGTCAGCACAGATATTCAAAGAAAACCTTTGTTGAAAATATGTCCGACGGACTGACTACATTAGTATTTTCCAATGACCACACATCAGTATTTTGCAAGCTATGTACTGCGTTACGCATGAAGATTGATTTGTTCATGACGAATATGGATTGCAACAATCACAATAAAGCACTCTTGCAGGAAAATCGTCGGCTTGGAGAGTTCGTGCACAGGTCTAGCCACTTTCCTAGTGCTTGTTAAAGGATCTTCTTCTACAAGGTATACAGGGTGAAATGGTTGATAGGGGGCGTCAAAACACGTCAAAAAGTTCATATGACCCATGGTCCAAAAGTCAATAGATTTTTGTCTAAATGGCTTTATAGTTTACAACTGTAAGTATTTTATATCGACCAGAATCACCACAATCTTACTAATTTTTATAATCTTATCTAAAACGTTTTTAAATTGGGTAATTAACAAATAAATGGCATTAAGTTTTCCTAAGTTAAGCCAAAATTTGTAGTCAGTAAGAAAGTAAGTTTCATTAAATTGTATATTTAAAACACACTTGACAACACCGCGTCGGTCATCATCACTCTTATTGCACCGGCAATCGATCGCAAACTGTAACAGTGGTTATTTATCCTTTTGCATAGTTTTGCGGCGTTGTCAGATTTATTTTACTTTACATTCGTTTTTTCTAAAAAAATGCCGTTTTGACCCCCATGTAATCTGAAAATTTTTCCTTCTTTAACCCCCTCTATCACCCATTTAAATAATGACTATCATAAAATTTACACCCTGTATATAATAATACACCTTTATCAGTCTGCATTAGTCGGGGGGGTGTCTAGGTCTCGCACTGTGCCCACCTAGACATTTCTGCAGATCGACCTATATAGGTGAACAAGTCTCCTCGGCCCTGAATGGTAACGTCTGGGAAAGCGATCTACATCACCATAAATTGAAATCAAGTCGACGAGTGTGCTATTTCTTTTTTCGAATCGATTGGTAAATAAATGCTTTGGTTACCTACGCTACCAGTGCCTGGGTTGGGTACTAACGTACGTCGTGCCTTTTCACTTTTGATCTGACCAAGATACAGGAGCGGATTTAGTTTGGTTTAGGATTAATTAATTTTGCGGAGCCTAAGATCTCGATTATTTAAAGACCTTGGTTTATATGCTACTAGGAAGAACCTCTTTTTCAAGATCTATACGTCGTGTAAAGGAAAGTCTCAACGTTACGGACACCCTATCTGCAGCAGAATTCCATTCATATGGTGGAAGTAATGAGTATATGATAATCACCATTTATATTTAGTACAACAGTAATGTAAATAATAAACATTTAGCACAACTATGCTCGTAGCACTTTTTCCTCCCTAGTATATAAAAAACGCCATAATATGCTGAATGACAAAAAAATATAGACATCTGCGTATGTTTATTAGAATTCAAGAATCTTTTACATATAATAATAATAATAAATGCCTTTATTTCCAAACAGTTCTCAAAAAAAAAAAATCAGAAAGAGAAACATGAGTATTAATCAAAAAAAGGAAAATATAAAAAAATAAATAAAACAAATGTCGACTGTCTGAAAACCACAAGCGGGAATTCACTATCTAGTGCTCTTCCACTCATCCCTTGAAATTGTAAGAAACATTATGCCAGTAAATACATCCATCCAGCATATACAAACATCAATATGAACAGCATGTAAGTTTTTTAAAAAAAATAAGATAGAAAAGTGAGAAATGTGGTAATAAATTAAAAAAAAGAAAGTCTAGAATAATATATAGATGTATATACCCATACATACCGCATAAACAAACGCCAATATGAGCGACAATAAGTTTGAAAAAAGAGCAAAGAGAAAACGTGGTGGTAAATGTGAAAGTCTAGAATGATATACATATACGTACATTTATGCATCATATGAAAAAAAAATATAAATAAAATAATGGAATGCAAACAAAATAAAATTGAAATTCCACAGTAAGAATAATTCTACTTTATACATTCAGGGTAAGAATCACGCAAAACCGCTTTGAACTTGTGAATTTCATATGATTTGAGGTACTGGGGGATAGGATTGTATAGCTTATATATATATAATACGAAAATGATCTTTCATAAAATTTAGTTCTGTGGAATGGAGCGGTAATGTTTTGTTTCGAACGAATATTTACGGAATGGATGTCTTTTCTGAATGTTATTTTCTCGTAGAGGTAATGAGGCTGCCTCAGGGTTAAAATTTTATGATAAAAGCATATTGTGAATATCTCAAAACGAGCCTTCATATTTAGCCACCGGCGTTCTTTCAGCTTATGACTAACTCTTTCAAATTTTCTTATGCCATATATAAAACGTATGCATGTGTTCTGTGTTCTCTGTATTCGCATGAATGTATCACAATCTAAACATGCAGAATAAATTGGAACACAGTACGAAAACTGTGATAAAACCAAGGTTTCGCAAAGAATTCTTTTGATGTCTAAATTGAGAAAATTTTGGTGAGGATACAATAATTTTAGAGCCAGATAAGATTTTTTGATACAGTTTGATATGTGCTCACGATTATAATCCATTGTTAAGCCTAAGTTTTTAACTTTATCACAGTATTTTAATCTAATATTATTTATGGTTATATTTAAATTCTCAATCACATAAGAACGGTCTTTACCAAAGATCACAGCAGCTGATTTATTTCGACTTAATATTAATGAATGCTCTTGCAATCTTTTAGAGAGGTAAGTCAAGTCACTGTTTATTTTCAATTCGGCAGATGGCCAATCTGAACTAGGAAAAGAATAGTGCAGCTGGGTATCATCCGCATAAACGTGTGACTTACAGAATTCCAAACATTTAAGGATCTGACTGGTATATATATAGTGAAGAGCAATGATCCAAGTATAGATCCTTGCGGTACACCTGTGGTAGTGGGCTTTGAACTAGATATTTCATTCTTCAGTTGTACATACTGTGATCTGCCACTTAAGTATGAATTAAAAAGTTTTACGCTGTCAGTAGACAATCCACATGACTTTAAGATAGACAGCAAGACATCATGGTTAATTGTGTCAAATGCCTTGCTGAAATCTAATAGTATTAAAGCGGTAGACTCACCCAGATCATTCGACTGAATGATATCATCAGTTATTTTAGCAAGTGCAGTGGTGCAACTGTATCCTGGACGAAAACCTGACTGTGTTTTAGGAAGGATACTTTGACTTTCAATATGTGTTCTTAATTGTATTTCAATAATTTTTTCAACCAATTTCGAGAGACCAGCTAGAATACTTATTGGACGAAGATCTGATAGCTGTTCAGCTTCCTTACATTTTGGAATTGGCACTATTAAGGCCACTTTCCAGCACTTTGGATATTTTCCCTCAAGAAAAATTGTATTAATAAGATGTACCAAATATGGTAAAATATACGAGACACACAATTTGACGAGATGTATGCTAATGCCATCATTTCTGGGTCTGGTGTTTTTTATCCTACTTAATGCGTCAAATACGTCTTGCTCAGATACCAATTTGAAATTGAGCTCTAAATTACATATTTTGTTTTGATCATAATATATAGCAATATGATTACCAGACGCCACACGAGGTATGCTGTTAATAAAAAAGTTATTTATATGTTCCGCATCTTGCAAATCAATAGGAATATTTGACTTCTGTGACTTAATACTAAGCGAATTAAGTTCTCGCCACAAAGATTTCTTATCCTTACTCTGAGCAATTTTATCAAAATACTTTCTTTTTTCATGTAGAATAGCATGATTGGTTTTGTTTTTTAGTTTTTTATATGCATTCCAATTTGAATCGTTCGGATTTTATCTACACTTAGACCTTGC